TATAAATACTGATATTTTGAAATGGGACCATTTTGATTTTGTGTGGGCAAGTCCTCCATGCACGGAATACAGCAAAGCAAAAACAACAGGGGTCAGGAAAATAGACCAAGCAAATGCTATTGTTTTCACTTGACCAGGACATGTCTTGTCGGTGTCAAAAGTAGCATTCACCTTTTTTTCCACCGCACTGCGCATGCTTTGTGAAATCGGCACGTGCCAATACTTCTTGCATGGTGGAAGCACAAACAAAGGCGAAAGCAACATTTAAGATGCTGAAACTGACATGCTGGATGCTGAAACTGACATGCTGGATGTTGAATCTGACATGCTGGATGCTGAATCTGACATGTTGGATGCTGAATCTGACATGCTGGATGCTAGATTTGAGATGCGGGGTTGTGCATTCCATCACACATGACCCTTGCCCCAGAAACCCTAGAAAACCACACTATACTATAATAATAGCATGTAAAATCTTATATGCTATAATCATACTATACTTATGGTTTGTAAAGATCGAAAATATTTTCATTTTCCTTAATTTGGCTATCTCTTTCAAAGTGCGTTGTTTGAACTTGGCATGCTCTTTTGTTTTTTTCGTTCTTTGGCTGTTTGTATTTTATTTTGTTTGGTCGAACCGTTGCCGGTTGGCTGTCCTCGCGCTCGAGGTCCAAGCTTCATCCGCCTCCTTGCTCGGTCCCGCTCCCGGGAGGCTGCGCCCGGCTGTTGTTGCAGCCCTGGTCGCTCGGTCTGCCCTGCTCTCCTGTGCAGCCCAGCTTTCCTTTGCCGAGTCCTTGCTGGAAGGGCGGGTCGCTACTGGACAGTCCAACTCTCGGCGGGCCCTGCCCGGACTGGAGTGCGCTGCTTGCCGACTCCACTTGCGCGCGACGCACCGGCAGCCGTCTGCCTCGGTGACGGCCTCTTGGGCCGGGGCCGCCGGGATATAAATGGCCAGCTTGGTGCACGTGAGGAGCTGGCCTCCGAAATAACAGCCGCCAAGACCCCTTTTCTGGCCGGGGGATGCCTTTTCCTGGAGGCCAGGCGATGGAAAAAGGCTTGCGAAAAAAAGACAAACTGGTTGAGACTTTGCAGCATCTCACTGATTCATGCCCGAACACAACGGCACCGTGCGTGGACGGCGTGAGGGCATACTCCACACGCTTTTCGGTTGTTGCCGTATGTGCGCCTTTGGTATGTCACGCCGTCTAGCTACGTGTGGACACTCCCCAAGATATCGGAAGCATCCGTGTCATCACCGATGCCCTTTCATCAGTTTACCATGACATGCTGAAAGCCGGGAGTTTCCAAGATTCCTAGCAACACACGATATTTATAATGCTACCAGAGACAAGGGACGTATCTGCTCCAGCCAGCTGAAAGGGGGCAAGAAAATCACATTCGGCTTTCTCAAACTTTAGCAGCTGCGTATATTGGGAACGGTGCTGGAGCAGAACCAGCTCTGGACCAGCTTGCAGTACGTGCTCGTCGCGCGCTGGTCCGCCGTTTCCTTGCGGCATGCCAGTCGGGGCTCTGCATTGCAATCTTGATGGGGGTCTGCCGCCTCTTGGCGAGCTGCCTGCAAACAGCCGGGCTGGGCCCCTTTCTGCCAGCCGATGCCCAGCCCGCTTTCAGCTTTCGTGCGCGTGAGGAGCCGGCCTCCAAAAAGACAAGAAAGCCAAAAACATCGCCACAAAAAAAAACAAACCATCAAACAAACGCTAAGACCCCTTGTGCCCAGGTGCTGTACCAGGCGGGGCAGAACCACGCATTGGAAAAAGGCGCGCGGAAAAGATAATCCCAAAACCAAACCGGATTGCGGCTTTGTTCCTGCGTTCGTTCGTGGCCGGTGCGTCAAGCCCTGTCCTTTGCTTTGTCCGCAATCCTGGAAGCAGGGGGATAGGTCCGGGCGAGCGTGGACGCTGTGGTTCTTGCTTCCCCGCATGTTGTTGCCCCGTAGCCCTGGCGTCCGGAAGCTGCTCAAGCGTGACTGGATTGCGCACGTTACGGCTTTCCATGAAGGTCGCTGGACTGAACTCTTGCAAAACTCCCAACAACCCGCATGACGTGGCCATTGCGTCAGCCCTTGCTGCCTTGCTCGCGGTGGAGACCTGCCCGACCGTGCCCGTGCCGTTGCCCAGTTGCCTCTCTCCCTTGGTGGTCTTGGCCTTCCTTCCGCAGCCCAGACTTCTGTGCCGGCGTTTTGGGCTTCGAGGGGGCCCGGCAGCCACAATCCTTTGCGGCAGTGGCTTGGACCCCACGAGCATTGAGAGAATTGCTTGCCGACGTGCGTGAGCCTGTGGCACGTGAGGAGGGGCCATCCACCTTTCACAGAGGCTGGCAAGGCGTTGCTTCGGCAGAAGCGCGCCGCCGACATGAACATTTGTTGGCCACTGCGGATCCTGCCGCCCAAGCACTGTTGCAGTCTCAGTCGGGACCCTTTGCCAGCTGCTTCCGCACCACGGTGCCGGTTTGCTCTGCCTTGTGTTACCCTTCCCACTTGTTTCGTGTGCTCTTTTTGCGCCGCCTCCGTCTCCCTTTTCTGAGCGCACCTGCCAGTGCCGTCGCCCTTTGGACAGCTTGTGCCAGGTCTGGTGTGCTCAGGAGCCGAGGGTGCCCATTGGAGCGGCTGCGCGTGTGTGCAGGGAAGCCGGAGCCAGAGTCACAACTAACACGCGCCTGGCAGACTTGAACCTGCGTGTTGCCAGGGTAGATGATAGGCGCTTGGAGGTCGTCGCCAATCGCCTCCCACTGTGGGGGGGCCAGCAGTCGACACCACGCTTGTGTCTCCCTTGTCGTGCCAGGGCCAGTGTCAGCAGGGGTGACCGCGTTGTTGGGGCGGCCCTTGCGCTTGCGCGCCGGCGCAAGGAGCGTGCGTACAGCTTCTTCGGGCAGGCCGCTGCCGCCTTGTCGTGTTGGCGGTCGAGGTGGGAGGGGTTGCCGCCCCCGCCCCTGGGTGACCTCCTCGCTGACACGGGGGCCATGCCCCACCTTGCCAGCCGTGTTGCATAGTACAAAAGGCCTGCAGCCCAGTGTCCGGGCCCTTAAACAGGATTTCTACAGGGGGAGAGACATGATGCAGCGGAAAAAAGGTGCGCAGAAAAACAAACAAACAAAATGCCAAAAACAAACAAAAACAACAACAATAACGCGGGAAATCTAAACCAGCATTTAAGCATATTTCAGCCTTTTGTTTGCAATCGCCGCTTCCAAGCTGAACCTGCCTGTTCAAGTCCAGCATTGAACATGTCACCTTGTTTGACGCGTGTTACAAAACGCCTGCTTCCATGCACCTGGCCGGTCATAATGATTACAATAAATTGATGTAATTTTGTGGGCCCCCGCGGCGTTGATCGATGAGATGGGAAGCTTTGCACAGATCCAAACTAGCAATCCACAGACGGCCCCCAAAGCAACAAACGTGGGGCTACAACTGAATATGCCCAAGATGAAATTGTTTACAACTGCTCCGCAGGGAACAGCCGATAAGTTCATGGAGATGATAGACGGTCTCTTCGGCGATGCTTTCCACACGTATGTTGGCAGACGTATGTGTGGATATGTGCCACTTAGACAATGGGACTCGCGGGAGCCTGGGCAAAATTGCGCAAGTTCCGGCTGGCATCGGGCGGCTACTGTCGCTGACGCATGGCTGGGCGCCGTCCAGTCAAGCTATCCGCCCACAAAGCCTACTATGCGGCGGGCAGCAGCGACGGCTGACCGGAGCCCGAGTGGCACGCGGGCGAAGTTGAGAGAGCCAGAGGCCCAGCTTGGAGAAGTGTCGTCAAGCAGTCCCCCGAAGCGAAATCTTGGGCCACGGCAAAGTCGACGGTGGAGACTCTTGCATTCATCCTGCGCATTCTTGCGCTCCAGTCCTTGTGCTCGAAACGCACCCATCTAAGGCTAGACCGGAACATTTTTCGTTGTAGGCAATCTAATTTGGAGAGCTGCGCGTGTGTCAGGTGTGAAGCTAGGGCGCGGTTGTAGCGTTGCAATCGTTTCAAAAAATCGGCGTGATGTCCAGGCTGAAGGCCTGCCGGCAAGCTTCGGACGCAACACGCTGCTTAAGCCTGTCATAACTTGACGGGGCACGGCGCACCGCCCAGCGCAACTCACGCACGATGTGAGGACTTCCTCAAATTATTCGCGCGACCGGCGGTGGCTGTCGGACGTCAAATCCTCTGCGCCAGTCCGGCGGTGGCAAAAGGCGCAGGCAAGCTGCTTCATCCAGGATTGTTGCCAGTGCCCGTGGGGGCTTGGCTCGCGACCAACCTGGAGATTCAAGGTGGGGCCATCCTTTTCGGTTTGCACACGACAGCACGCGCCATCATGCGCACCAGGAACCAAACAAATTGTGGAAGTCCAAAGTGTTGCGCACTGCGGACGATGGCGCAGCCATCGCCAGTGCCTGGCGCCGCATGGCAGACAGAGGCTGTGGTTGGTGGCGCCGGTGGCGGGCGCTCCGCCTAGCTTGGCAGATGGCTTTCCCCGGCCGCCGCTGGAGAGCGCTCGCCGGTGTCCCTTCCCTGGCTGGCCACCGTTGCCTTGGGCACCTTTTTGCGGGGACGCCACATTGGAACTTTCGGTGTCCACTGATCCGTTCTGAGGACGGCAATGAGCGGTTGACGCTACTTTTGTCCCCCCGCTCATCCGCCAGTGAGGAGGTGGCAGCTTTCGCCTACCAGGGTGGCCAGCCCGCGCCAACACTGGCAGACAGGGGCCCAGCCCCTCTCGCCAGCTGGTCTCAGCTTGCACGCAACCGCACTTCCTCCAAAAAGGAAAGTGAGCCCCCCAAAGCGCATGACATGAGCAGGAATAACTTTTTTTTTGGGAAGGAACCGGCGAAAAGAGACGCGCAGGGAGAAAGCATAATATTGCTTGGCGGGCTCTTCCCAGCTGCACGCCAGTCAAGTTAGCTTTTGGGCAGCCAGTGGCTGCGCCCTGGTGTTGGAGAGAATGGTTTCATCGGGCCCTTACCCTTTTCATCGTAGAATTGTCAGTTGCAAGCTGTTTTTGGCTCAGCTGGCTTACATTTGAATGGCGGCAGAGCCTTGCCTTGCCGACCAGTAGCTGAGATGAGATGCTGATCATGGGCCCCGTGTACGAGTAGCATTTTCTGGATGGCCGCCAGATTCTTGAGAACAACCTGCTTTGGTATTGGGCGTCGCTGTTGGGCACGTGGAGGAGTGCGGCTGTATACTGTACAGGCACACGCGGATGCAAATTGCAATGTGCGCAGTTTACGATATACCTGATTAGCATCGACCCGTAGGTGCACAGCAGTCACACTAGGAACTGTTTCCGTGAGTAACGTTTTTTTGTCTTCTCCACGGCTGAAAGCTACAGGAGTTTTTACTTCTATCCAAACAGGCGTACGCTATTTTGCTGTTTGGGGTGCTCTTAAAGTGCTGTGGTTGTTGCTGGCCGTGCCTGTTTTGAATGCAGTCAGGGTGCTGCTTGGGGTGTTGGTCAGGTGCTTCCCATGCTATTTGGTGTCTATGCTGGTGTCATTTTGTTTTGTTGGGCGCTCCAGCTTTGCACGGGTGGCGGTGGGGGGTGCAATTTATTTCAGTTACTAGGTCGTCCATCAAAGCGAGGCTGGCCCTGGCAGCGCCGCGGACGTTGCTGCTTTTGCTTCGCTGGAACCTCACCCCAGGCCTTGGCCGAGCTTCTTGTTTTGTTGGGGCAGGCTTGCTAAGTTTGTGGGGTTGCAGGTGCATGGGGCGAATGTACAGCAGCCAGCATCGCGCTAGGAGTGTCCAGTATTTGATGTCAACGGTGGATGTCTCCAAGATTTGGGCCTTTCTTAGCACCGAGCTGCCGATTCGGTACGCGGAACGGATACGATCTTTGGAGCAGGCAGGGTTTCCTTGGTGATGCCCTTGGCTTATCTTGCTGGTGCTCAGTAGGGAATCAGGGAATGACCCCTATAAACTATCCAACTGGTGGTTTTCCTTTTAGGGGACCCCGAAACGGTTCATTCCATGTCTCATTCCTGGCACATGGCACCGATCGCATCGAGCATTGTGTCAGGTGCCCCACTGGGAGGAAGTGCCGGACCTGGTGGAGGTCCGCGACATTCATTTGGACTCCTTCAAGGCAGTCCGCGAAGCCCAGGTGGACACCTTCGCGCAAGTGGCCCATGAGGCGTGGGGAGGGCCGATTTTTGTTTTTGCGTTTTGGAGCGGGGGGGTGATTGTTGCAAATCAGGCAGGGAGAAGAGGAAGGCGAACTTAGCCAGGTGAGGAGGAAGTGGGGAGTGGCACCGTAGGGTAGCCAGAAGCCAGAATAAAGATATGCAATTTCGCTAGTGCGACATGAAGCTGCAAATTGCCACGCCCAAGGCAATATTGCGAGAACAAAGAGTTGTGGACATGATGGCCAAGTCGATGCACTACCTTCGGCGTGATCACGGGGACGTCATCACGGAAGACTTCGTGATCCTTGGCTGAGGGAGTCCATTTTTTGGTTTAGGCAGACAAGCAAACCACGACGCAATGGGTCAGGATCTCCCAATTGCTGACGTGTCCAAGTGCCGTTTTGGTGATGGTGGCACGTATCAGGAGCAAATTTCTCGACGATTTCCTCCTCAATCGCATTGGGTGTCAGGTTCTTCTTGGACACTTCTTGGCTTGCCGAGCGGGGCAAAAGCCGCACGGCTGCACACCGTCGTATGTTGAGACTGAAGACATGTTGCTTCTGGTTGTGAGCGGGATTTCAGTGTGTACGTTGTCGTTGTCGTAGTTGTTGTCGTCGTGGTGCTTGTGATCGTGGTTGTGGTCGTGGTCGTGGTTGTGGTCTTTGTCGCTGTCGTTGTTGTCGTCGTCGTTGTTGTTGCAGGCAGGTAGAACTGGTTCTTCCATGGCCCAAGTGCAACAACTAGCTAGGAGTGGCATCATCGACCCACGCTGCAACACGAAGAAGGTGTGCCGTGCAGGTGCTAAGGCGGAGAATGAACTTACAGCAAAGAGTTCCGACTGCTTGTGTTGTGTTGACATTGCCCCGTAAGCGAAGCATGCGAGTTCTCTTTCGGTTGCAGGCTGTTTTGGAGATGTGCGTCTCCTGCACTGGGTTGTGCCCGAACGTGTTTGTGGATGCTTACTCTGCATGCGGGAACGGCTTGGATGACGACGATACCCCCAGATTCCCTTATATGCCTCACATCCTGAAGTACATAGTCATGGAGCTGCTCAAGAACAGTTGCAGGGCCACGGTTGATATGCTCAGGGCGGGCCAGCTGCACGCTGATGACTACCCCATTAATGTGATCGTGTGTGCGGATGAGGACCATGTCACGATTTGTGTGGCGGACCAAGCGCGAGGAATCCCTCGAGGAGTGAATGCTTGGTCTTATCTTTACACCACAGCCAGGGAGGGAGAGTATGGTGGGGAGAAGCGGCTGGCAGGACACGGCGTAGGCCGGATCTCGCATCAAAAATCTTGGTGCCTTCCCCCATCTTTCACATGTTTTCAAGCGGGCACAGACTGGGATAGCTTAGCGCGAGCCAGGCCTTCCATTGTCCAGACTCTATGCTCGATATCTGGGAGGTGCGCTGGATCTGGTCTCGCTGCCGGGATACGGCACGCACGCCTATGTCAACTTGCCGCGGGTTCAAACGCAGCAGGTGGAAGTGGTCCCCGCATCTCAGCTGGGCTTGGCAGAGTTGCCGTTGCTGAGGTTCAAGAAGGCGGTTGTCATCAACAGTTGGATAGAAATTTCGGGATTTGGTTGGTGTAACGTAGAGATTAAGGAGATTGACTGCCTGGGACTTTGACTTGTTTTATGTCGCCTGAATTGAAGCGTCTTCTTGTGCCATGTAAGGATGCTGACTACCAGTACGACTATGCAAGTCTTTTGAACTTCACGGTTTGATGGCTTTTGTACAGTCTTTGCTCAAGCTTGCTGAAAGGCTAAGGAGGAGCAAGGTCTGGCACGTGTAGTCGCATTTGCGCAGAACTGCAAAACTGCATGCGTCGGACGAGCGGAGAACATGAGGCCTGCATGCCAGGCATTTGTGGGCTTGCAAGCTTAGGCTCTGTGACAGGCGGGGGGGGAGGAGGGTAGGATTCTCTTTCGCGCACCCTCCTTGGACTTGGCCGCAGCCAGCTCAAGTGCTTGGCCCGGCCACTTCTCATGGGATCGCTGGCCTTCCTTCTCGCGTTCCGGGCAGCGGGAGAGCTACCCTACCGACCACTTTGTCCTCCTTACCTGCTGGGTGTCGCTTCCTCAGTGGCATGAAACTTTTTCTTCTCAGGCAGGTGGTTTGGTCCGAGCTCTTCTCAAGGTGGTTTGGTTTGTTTCCTCAGGACGAAACAGACATCAAGGTCCAGTCCTCGCACCCAGAAGGTGGCCAGTGCGCGCTGGAGCAAGCAAGAAGCAGCTATGCGATTCAGTTGCGGGACCGGCGTGCGAGCGTGCTGTCATGTTGCTGGTCGGACACGTCTTGCAACGGCAGGATGCAGCCTTCGCCACGAAGATGCTATGGATAGTGGCCACCCGCTACTATGCTCCCCGGCGCTGGGAGGCATACGCATCACTGTTTGAGACCCTGACGCAACTCGACTTTTAGCCGCATTGAGGCAGCCCGCTTTCTATCGCTTTTTGATGTGTATTTGTTCGGCTTTTTGGATTAGCTCCAGGAATGCTTCGCCGCATTCCGCGGTTGCTTCCCTGGCGGTGTGGAGCAAGAAGCTGTCACCGTACTTCCTGTTTGCATTGCATTCCGGCAGGCCAGTGGGCTGTTGCAAGCATTGATTCATATGTATGCAGCCGGGAGCACGCTTTCCCTGAAATAGCTCTCAGTGAGGAAGCGCAGACAGTCTTCAAATTGGACGCGGCTCGGCAGTCATCGTTTGTACGGCTGTATGTGCCTGTTCTTGTTACTTCTCCATCATTGATGCACGGGCTAAGGCATACTTGCGTGATGCCACCATTCAGCTGGGAAAGGACTTCCTACGAAGTGAGGAGGACTTGATTGCCCTCAAGCACCCCTGCCCCTCACATGCAAGTAGTGTCAATATCCACCCGCTGCGACTTGCCGAGGCTTCGAAACCGATGACTTGGCAAACTTCGTCTCGCATGATATGTTTCGGCGCCAGGCGCGGGAGCGCGCGGGAATTGAGAGAATTGAGCGGAGCCCCGAAGCTGGTCCCACGGGAACGTGGCCGGCGGATTTCTTGAGCGGTCAGAGGTGGCATGGTCGCTCGAGGCCCTGCTGCCAGCTTCCAACCTGTTCGGCAGCTACGAGGGCCCGCTGGAAGGCCTTCCTGGCTTGGAGAATCCGCAGCTCCGGGCGTTTTGGATGCCCAGGCGGGTCTCCGTTTTGGGCTCCCTTCGGAACTCGCGCGCGGCGAGCGAGTTCCGGGCACTCGCCAGGTGGACGGCGCCGGAGATGCACACCTTTGGCGCGTGCTCGGCGAAGGGCTCTTTGAAGTGGTGCTGCTCTTAGTGCTTCAGGCCACTGTTCGAGCGGTCCATGTTCCGTTGGAGGGGTTGAGATGTGCACTCGCCAACTTGTCATCGCGATACAGCGTGAAGAGGCTTGAGTCTAGCTTGGGTGGAATACCTGGATGTGAATATGGCCCATGTTGATCGGTCTTGAGATCCTGCATATCTAGGGCAGGTACTGAAGTCATTCGCGTTGATGTCCGCCTTGCAAGGTCACAGATCCCGAGTTGCTTAGGTATTCCTCTTTCGAGCCCCCGATCATTCCTGACAGCCTTCCAGCAGACGCTTGGCGGGCAGCTGCTTTGCTTGGCTGAGCTTTTTTTTCTGCGGGTGCGATTTCGGCCGAGGAGTGGGAGGCAAAGTGGGTGGCCAACCTGGGTGCTGGAGATGGCACCTGCGCGCAAGACATCGTCCGGCAGGACAACCTGGAGCGCGGCTTTCTGGGCTATGCGGACCCTGCAAACTGCATGGTGCGCAAGGGATGCCCGGCAGGTAGCTCAAAACAAACCACAGAGCCAGCCAGATCCTGTCGGTCAAATAGATGCAAGATGAACACACAAGTCATGTTCGCGGCCTCGTTTTGGGAAACACCGCTTAGCCGGCTTAGCCCGGATTAAAGTTTTGCTTTAGCAAATCAGATGCAGCTTCAAGGCTCCCAAAAGCTGGAGGTTTCGGCCTCAAGCCGAGGCTACGGCGGAGTTCTGTTTGAAGGAGACTCTCAGCACCAGCCTGCGCTGGAAGAGATGCTTGTGAACCGCACGGCGCCTTGCCTTGCTTTCGGGTGATGTCCAGCTAAGGCAGAAGGTTCCGGGCAAGCTGGGCTGTTCAATATCAATCCTTAATCCTTGTACCGGATTGTGGTTTCCTTAGAGGTGTCCCACACCGGATCACGGCGTGGGAAAGTCATACCATGGTGAATCTTGCACACGTTGAACGACCCAATTGTCTCCTTTTTCCGGAGTCCTTTTTAGCGTTGGTGGCCAGAACTGCATGGCGCCGCCTGGATCGCCAGTTGCTGCCATTTTTCTTTTTCTCCTCCATAGGCTGTACCCCAAAAACCAGCAACAGTGACTGAACAGGGCGATTGCAACTTGGCCATCTCGGTTTGCCAGAGCCCCGGAGCTTAGGACCTGGAGCTGGGCATAGGCTTTGTGGACCCGCGGATGGCGGCCCAGCGGATCGCCGAATTCCGGGACGCGCGCGCGCCGAAGAGCTCGCCCCAGCTGCTGAAGGATGGGATGGACGGGCGGGGATGGACCCCAGAAAAAGGGTTTCAGATGCTGGATGGACCACCTGACTCTTTTGGGCGTGCTTTTGGTTTGCATCCCCCCCTTTTTTTTGGTGGGGTGATGTGATACGGGCTGCTGTTGGCTCGGCTGATCTTGTGCATGAGGAGCGAGCAGGTTGGCTTGGTGGTTTCCTTCAGGTTTGGGCTTGAAGCAGCGGTTCGGCCCGCTTGGGTTGCCCCATGAGCCAGCCGAAACCAACTGAGCGGCCCCAAGAGAGAAGGCCGCATAAAGTGCTGCGACTTTCTCCTTTTGAAGACCTTGTCCCTTTCCCCCCCCCCCCGCGAAAAAAGCCGCCGAGTTGCCGCACGCAGCAGCATTCACATCCCCCAGGTGGACGTGGACAACTGCGACTGCTGCTTTGTGGAGGCCATCCTCGCGGCTGGCCTGCGGCCCCTCATGATCCACGTGGAGGTCAGCCCGCTGGTGCCCCCGCCCATCATCTACAGGCCAGCGGTGTATCAGAAACTTGGCCGAGCGCTGCGGTTTCCGGAAGCATCGCCAAGTAATCTTCAAGTCTTGGGCCATACTGAGTCACTGAATGGTTGGAGCCTGTTTGCAGGCCAGCCGAGTTCAATGCAGATGTGGAGGATTCCATGGAGTCGCTCAGTTCTTTGGCTTGATTGGAGGTTGCGGCATCGCTTCAAGTTTTCTGAAAGCTATGGGGTCGAGCCGGGCTCCTAAAGCCCGTTGTGAAGTACCACTCTCCACTCTACCATGATCAGTCTCGCCCATTCTGCAGGTGTTCTTGTGAAGGACCTGCAAGGAACTAGCACAATGTTGTGCCAACCGTCGGGAGTGTGTCAAAACGCAGCCCCTTAATCCTGGCAGATATCAAGAACACCAACTATCAAACGTGGCATTTTCACAATACAAAACATGCACAAAAGAATGCGAATACACACATGAACTTAATATTGTCTACAAAGTTTTATGTTCATTTTCACTTACCTCGCCACAGATCTTAATTCGATTTTCCTATATTTGCCAAGGGTCCCCAATGGGGCTCCTCCAATCTCAATTGGCGCTAATAGCGACTCGCAACGTCAATTTGGGGCTGACAGGAATCTATTAACTTTTGTTTCTTGTTGGGGTTTCCTCTTGGAGGGGCCCTGGCAACAATGGGAGAGGTGAGCATCAATCCTTTGATATAAGAATGCAGCCTACGTGATTAGCGCAAGCAATGAGCGTGAACAATTTGAGTTGCGGCAGCCCTCAACTCGTATCAGCCCAACCCAAAGCACACGCGCAAGCACGCCTATCACATCCCTGAAGACGCTTCAATTAACCCTATGTCACAATTTAAAGCCCGTTCTCAACAAACCCAAGCTCAGACAACTTGGAACCTACTGTATGCCACTGTAAGTAATTATGTGCTATGCACAATCCAACATGTGGGACACGTGAGGCACAGAATGCCTACGGGGAACATGATGGGATGAGTGCAGCAGGGCGGCTCTCTGCTCTCTGCAAATGCTCGCTCGCTGGCCAATTTCCGGCCCTGAGTTCTTATACTTGGGCTCTGCCTTGCGCGTGGCGCAACGCAGCCCATCTCATGTTACGACTTTTGGACAATATCGCCAAGATTCTGTCATAGGAGGTTGATTGAAACCTGCAGTCTGCGAACCAGTGTCTTTGTCTTTTCTAGCCATGCTCTAACCTCATTTGGTTCATTGGTTGGTTGGCCGCATCCCCAGCATCTCCAGCGGCAGTTGGGACTTGCTGGTGCAGATTCCAGTTTGTTTTTTGGCTGGCTTTTATCTTGGGTGGGTTTTGGGGCCGGCTTGGAGCCGATTTTGTTCTAGATGTGCAGCTGGTTTAGCAGCGGCATTCGGGTTGTGTCAAAGCCCCCAACACTAGCTAAAAGGTTGCGAATCAACTAGTCATTTATCGTAGCTTTCTTTCTAAAGGTAGTTCGTTCAGAGACTTAGACTCGGCCGAATGAGGTGCTTCCGAGGGCCGGCCAGGCCACATGCGCCACTGCTCCCTTTCTGCCTTTATGGAGCTGCTGGATGGCTTCGGGTACCATCTCGCGGCTTGCCGTGCAGTGGATTTCAATCATTTTTTTGGGGTCCGGCGTCATGCTTGTTCTGCCTTGGTTCTGCAAATTGTTTTCGCAAAGGCGGAGGCAGAAACAGCTGCAGCACCACCACCAGCACCACCACCAGCACCACCACCACCGACACCACCACCACCAACAGCACCACCACCACTACCACCACCACCAACAGCAGCAGCAGCAACAACAACAACAGCAGCAGCAGCAGCAGCAACAGCAACAACAACCACAAACAACAACAACAACAACAACAACAACCAACCAACAACCAACAACAACCACAACAACAACAACGACAACGACAACGACAACGACAACGACGACAACGACAACCACAACAACAACAGCAGCAGCAGCAGCAGCAGCAGCAGCAGCAGCAGCAGCAGCAGCAGCAGCAGCAGCAGCAGCAGCAGCAGCAGCAGCAGCAACAACAACAACAACAACAACAACAACAACAACAACAACAACAACAACAACAACAACAACAACAAACCACACCAACAAAACACAACAACAACAACAACAACAACAACAACAACAACAACAACAACAACAACAACAACAACAACAACAACAACAACAACAACAACAACAACAACAACAACAACAACAACAACAACAACAACCAACCACAACAACAACAACAACAACAACAACAACAACAACAACAACAACAACAACAACAAACAACAACAAACAACAACAAACAACAACAAACAACAACACACAACAACAAACAACAACAAACAACAACACACAACAACAAACAACAACAAACAACAACAAACAACAACAAACAACAACAAACAACAACAACAACAACA